AAAACCACGGTTCAACGAAAGGACGCAACACAACCCGCTCATGACGCTGTGAAATGAACAGAGGGGGAAGACAGTTCAGCGGGATCTGAGGGCAGCACATTTACAGAACACTAGTTCCGAAGTCACCTCTCGAGAAACCAACACGATGTCCCTTCAACAAAGAACACGCCTTGAGGAGAGAGGAGCTCCTGGAAAATGGCAATGGTGTGCAGCTGGGCCCGACCAGGAGGAAGACGGGCGGTGCCTGGCAGACGGCACACACAGGTGAGTGCGCTCACCCTCAGAACGCCTCCGTGAGTCCAGAGCGAGGGGCACCGTGGTGCGTGACTCACAGGCTTGGGAGGAGAGCGGTTCAGAGCCAGTGTCAGGGACCCCACTCTGGGACTACGACGAGTGAAATGTCAGGATCCAAGATGCACCTGACACCTCTTTTTGTCTGAACTCACTTGATTAAAAAAAGAAATTAACTGGCAAGTAAAAATCATCTACATTTACAGTGTACAACATGTCACCTGGGCTGGAGTGCAGCTGTGCTACCTCAGCTCACTCCAACCTCCTCCTTCCAGGTTCCAACAATGCTCCTGCCTCAGCCTCCTGAATAGCTGGGATTACAGGCATCCGCCACCACACCCAGCTAATTTTTGTATCTTAAGTAGAGACAGAGTTTCACCATGTTGGCCAGGCTGGTCTCGAACTCCTGACCTCAGGTGATCCACCCTCCTTGGCCTCCCAAAGTGCTGGCATTACAGGGGTGAGCCACCGTGCACGGCCACAACATGATGTTTTGATACACATCCACCCTGCGGAATGGCTAAATCTAGCTAATTAACATATGTGTTACGTCATACTTGTTTTTCATGGTGAGAACAGCTGAGACCTACTCTTAGCAATTTCCAAGGATAAATCTATTGTTGTTAACTGTAGTCTCCATGGCCTGCAATGCAGATCCCTTGAACTTACTTCTCCTGAGAGTTCAGGTCCTCCTCCAACATCTCCCCATGCCCCGTGACCCCAGCCTCTGCTCCCCACCTTTCTACACTCTGCTCCTATGAGAACTCACTTGATCTCTTGTTTTCCCCAGATGACCTCTCCAAGCACTTAGCAGGCAGAGGGAAACTTCACAGGAGACTCTTTGTAAAAGGCTTTGTGGCTAACACACCATTTTCAGCAGAGCTGACAAAGTTTACAGAGACACTGCCTCCATTCCACCCTGCAGAACAGTTTTAAGAAACTCAGCAGCCAGGCCCCACCACAAAACAAGTGAGGCCCCAGTTGTCAGGGGTGGGCACCATCACCTGTGTTTATGGTGTTTTAAGCTTTAAGGTAAATCTGACGCACACCTGCGGCTGGAAACCGCTATGTCTAGATTTTCCTGCAGAGAGGCTGGCTTGCATTTTAACGGTCTTTTCTGAGCATCTGTCAACTCAAACCAGCATTGCTTGTCTTGTGGCAACAGAGCCGGGCTGGACATGCCCACAGCACATTCGGATCTGACATCACTGGGGTTAAGGTGATTCTCAATGGGGGCCAATGGCATTTTGGGTACAACTCTGATGCAGTAAGTTGATTAGAATCAATTCAGATAACCAAAGTGTTCAATCATGGAATAAGTGCCTATCACTTTGGAAGGAAGTGACCTTTCGGAATTAGCTGTATTCTGCCACCTGGGACAACACCCCAACTCCCTACAGCTGCCCATCCCACAGACATGCCGGCAGCATCTTCCTCACGATGAAAACTCAAGAGGCCCTTTGCTTTTCACAGTGGGAAAGGCAGCGCACGGCTGTGACCGCACACATGCTTGCAAACTAGTCGAGGGTAAAGTGACACACAGTCGCAGCTGCCTTTAAATGCCCTCACATCCTGCTTCAATTACTGGGGCTGGAGTCTGGAAGCCAAGAGGCTGGGAACCATCTGCTTCCTGCAGGTGCTCCTTTCTGCTTTAGAAGATGGGCTTCTTCTCTCTCAGGCAGAGCATGTGTGCATATACATTGTGTGTGCGTGTGTATGCACATGTGTGTGCATGCAACTATGAGTGCATGTGTGCCTGTGTGTGCATGTATGTGTGCATCTGTGGATGCATGTGTGTGCATGTGTGCACCTGTGGGTGTATGCATCTGTGGGTGCCTGTGTGTGCATGTGGGTGCATGTGTGTGCCTGTGTGTGTGTGCCTGTGTGTGCATGTGTGCACCTGTGTGTGCGTGCATCTGTGGGTGCATTTGTGTGCATGCATGTGTGTGCCTGTGTGTGTGCCTGTGCACATGCGTGTGTGTGTTCTAGGGCTGGGTAAAGAGCCTAACCAGGAAGGCCGGGATAAGCAAATAATTGTTTATATAGTTTTAATGTAATTCTCTGCAGGATTCAATCCACAGAAAAGCTCAAAACTGGAAACAATCGCTTAGTTGTAGAAGTGTTCACCCCACTGCCCACGCATCCAGCCAAAGTTTGATTTTTGGAGTTCATCAGTAAAAAATGTGTTTCTGCAAATGGGACTTTTATGTCATGTCACAGCTAATTCTGAAAGGTCAAAAGATCACTTCCTTCAAAAGTGATAGGCACTTACTCCATGATTAAACACTTGGGCTATCTGAATTGATTCTAATGAAATGCACCCTTACCACTCCTCTAAAATCAGTTTCATTCAAAACCCTTCGCCTGAAGGTTATTTTGGAGTTTGCAAAAGGAACACAACATCAACATTTTAAAGCCGTCAGAATTGCTAACAGCCTCCGTTGCTCTGAAGTAAATGAGGTTTGACAGCGATTCATCCGCAGTGAAATGCTACGCCTGCTGGTTACAAAATCACTGCCCAACTCCGCTCTACCTTAAGAAGTTGAAAAAAGGTATATTTACCTACAAAGGAGCACCTCAGCAATAGCTGAAATACTGGTACCATAAGCATACGCCCTTTTCACGTTAACATGACGAATAAAATGTCCTGCCCCAGGACTGCAGTTGGAGCCGATTTGAAAGGACGGTGAAGGTTAATACTAACGGCGACCCAGGAGCTGAGGTGCTGACATCTGGCTGAGGATGGCCACGTCACAAACGCACACTCTGCGCTCTGAAAGCACCTAACGGCAGATTCCTGGGCATGGACGTACGGCGTCTATCGTCTCCCCCTGTGTTTTTTGGTTTGAAATGACGCCACGCTAAGGGAAAAGATTATGCACACAATGCCATTCATTTCTTAAATGTAGGGAGAGGATTTTTTTCTTACTTTCTTTACCATGTTCTCTCTGGACCCCTAAGGTTTGCAGACCTTAACTTTTGTCATAAGTTCAGTACATTCAACTGGTATCTAAGGGGAATCATGGATATCCCAAAGACGTATGACCAAGTAACAGCATTAATCTAAGTAGACACTGAAAGAAGAAGTCCAGGTCTACAGAAAGAACACAGGGAACCTGGATAAAAGATCTGGGGAAGCACTGGCCAAATGTTTTCCTTTTGACAGGAGAACAGGCTTTCCCACATGCCATCCACACATGCTCACGCCGTGCCTGTGGTGTGCGGTGTGCGTGCTGAGGCCCATGGCGGGTACCACGCACGCGGTACCTGCTGCTTTAATCGCGTGAGGAAAAGCCGGGGCCAAAGGCTGGCGTTGGCCTGAGCAGGCCGAGCCTGCCCTTTTCTGGGCTCATTCTTCGGGAGCCCTGGAGGCAATGAACCAACTACAAAACAAGAGAAGGAACGTCTTTTTCTGTTAGACACGTGCTGCTGATTCTCTTGAGGACCTAAATTCAAGCAGCGGAGATAATGGTGAGATACCCCATGTCAAAAGAGTCTCAAGGAGGAGAAGAGATGTTGTGGGTGGTCCCGTTGCAAAGGGTATGTGAGGGCTGCAAGGACCTTTTACAGAAGAGGGGGTGCAGCCCAGCTAGAGCCTTCCCGGGTTTCAAGAGCACCACCTCCTCACTCTGGGGGGTGCAGCCCAGCCAGAGCCTGCCCGGGTTTCAAGAGCACCACCTTCCCACTCTGGGGGGTGCAGCTCAGCCAGAACCTGCCCGGGGTTTCAAGAGCACCGCCTCCCCACTCTGGGGGGTGCAGCCCAGCCAGAGCCTGCCCGGGTTTCAAGAGCACCGCCTCCCCACTCTGGGGGGTGCAGCCCAGCCAGAGCCTGCCCGGGTTTCAAGAGCACCGCCTCCCCACTCTGGGGGGTGCAGCCCAGCCAGAGCCTGCCCGGGTTTCAAGAGCACCGCCTCCCCACTCTGGGGGGTGCAGCCCAGCTAGAGCCTGCCCGGGTTTCAAGAGCTCCGCCTCCCCACTCTGGGGGGTGCAGCCCAGCTAGAGCCTGCCCGGGTTTCAAGAGCACCGCGTCCCCACTCCGGGGGATGCAGCCCAGCCAGAGCCTGCCCGGGTTTCAAGAGCACCGCCTCCCCACTCCGGACTCGGTCCTGCAAACACAGATACTCTGGTGGTGGACTGCAGAGTGGTGCTGGGATAGACATATTTTGTCGAAAAAAAAAATGGAGCAATTTAATGGAGCTGACTGCCGGATGAAGAGGTTAGATCCACCCTGGCCCCCATGCCACCCTGTCATCTCTGATGGCTACCCTGCCTCCGTCTCCTGCCACCAGTGAAGTCTAGTCCTTTCTTCTCCCTTAAATTCTGGAATTACAGAACATATGAAAAGATAGAGAAAAGATCAAGTAAAAGGAGGCTTCCTGCAGAAACACCTTCATCCTGTTTCCCAAACTTTTGTGACCTTAGCTGGCTTCCTGTCAGAGACAGTTAGACGGTCAGAGAGGCGATGCCATCCCAGTTTCACTGTACGTCGTAGCCAGCAAGGAGAAATGGCGATGCGAAAAGAAACGGTATTTTTAAACCTCCAGATAGAACTTCAAACGTACTTCTGAACTCCAACGGGTATGCTGCTCGGCTCTTCCAGCTTTCAGAAGTGCAGAATGTTATGGACAAAGACGTCACCTCCCTAAATAAGAAAGGGAGTGATGGACAATTTCATCCGCCCACTTTCAGTACTCAAGTTACATAATTACCTCCAAAATTGCGGCTGACATGCCTTCAGAGACCGAGCTGTTCACCACCGCGAAGCAGTTCTTCACCGCGGCGTGCAGGTCGCCTTGAGGCATCTCTCCGATCAGTCGTACCCCAGCAGCCCTGAGAAAACACGAAGCAGGGGGTGGCTCTAATCCCAGGAAGCTCCTGAGCAGCAGTTGGGAGGAGGAGACAGGACAATCTGGGTGAAACACTCTGGATCAACAAGTAAGCACTGCTGACAAAGCGTTCACCAGGAGAGCAATACTGGGGTAGAAACCCTCGTCGCTCATGTCCCTGACGAGTAGGGGAGGGAGCTGTTTAACATGTCTGTTCTTGTTTTCAGTATGCTCAACAAAGACACCTGCTCTCAAGGACTACAGGAGTCAGAGATAAGGTTTCTGCCATTTTCTCTGTTTGATTTAGAAAAAGTTTTTCTGGGCCGAGCGCGGTGGCTCAAGCCTGTAATCCCAGCACTTTGGGAGGCCAAGGCAGGTGGATCACAAGGTCAGGAGTTCGAGACCAGCCTGACCAACATGGTAAAACCCCATCTCTACTAAAAATACAAAAATTAGCTGGGCATGGTGGCGCTCGTCTGCAATCCCAGCTACTCAGGAGGCTGAGGCAGGAGAATTGCTTGAACCCAGAAGGCGGAGGCTGCAGTGAGCCAACACCGTGCCACACTGCACTCCAGCCTAGGCAACAGAGCAAAACTTGGTCTCAAAAAAAAAAAAAAAGGAATGGAAATAGAAATAGTAAGTAGAGATGATAATGTAACAAAAGCCCTGTCCCAGCACACAGCACTGACAGCTATTTTGTCACAGACATTTTGCCTTGTTCTATTTTTTTCACCACGTAATGTCAATCTGTGCCTTTCTTTGATCTTCCTCGTTCCTGCCACTGGCCACCACTCTCACGGCCCTGCCCCGCGTCCCTTCCCTGAGTGGGTGATACTTTTACACACATGCGTCTGCACCGGGGAACGATCTAAAGGTCCCTGATTAGAGATGGGAAAAACCAGTCATTGTCAGTGCCCTTTGCGGTTGGCATAGCCAATGTGATCTGGCCGGAATCCTGAGGGGCTGTGGGGACACCACTTTACAGGGGACTGACCCAAATGAGACCCACGACTTTCTGGCTCTGCTCATTCCCATCGCCCCACTTAAAACGCAGACTGATGATGCAGCTCTGGAGCCACGGGCGAAGGAAGGCTGGACAGAGACAAAAGCCAGATCCCCAAAGTCTCAGGGAAGCTTCCATGTTGCTCCATGGCTGACCACCCTCAGACTTGTTGATGTGAGCAATGAAAGCTCACTCTGTGAGCCTGTGCTGTTGGGTTCCTGGCAGACAAATGCAGCTCATCACCACGATACCAACAAAGTGCTCTGCAGGCAGGCAGTGACAAACACTGGTACTCCTGCATTCTTCCAAACCCTTGAGAGTTTAAAGCTTTCCATTTGGCCAGTTTGATCAGTTACTAATTATAATCACAGAGTGGTTTCTACTGGCATTTCCCTGGGCAGATGGTAGTGCCTGGGATGCCACGGGGCCGGCTGGGAGGATGGATGAGGAAACACCCGTAAACTGCTTGGAACAGTGCCTGGGACTGTTCGAATGAAGGTTAAGGTCACTTAGGGGACACTCAGGTTTCCTGTTCGGCCGCATGTCTGGTCTCCACCAACTCTTACCTTTTCACTTTGGCTTTTACTTCCCTTGTAAACACTGGATCGACCTGAAAAGAGACAAAGATAAACTTTGCGGTTGCCGCCTGCTGGAAGCACGGGCCTCGGTCTGCGGCCCTGGGGGCATCGGTGGCTGCCTGACACTTGGAGCTGAAGCACCTCTTCAGCCGGGACCTGCTCGGTACAACAGGCTGTTGTGCTGAGAAACTGGTGTGTCAGCCAAGGCTTTCATTGACCAAGGTGCACTCATCCCAGATGATTCATGACTCAGCAGGCCCTTCATGGGCTGAAAAATCTCACAGTGTAGCCGGATGTTGGATGGTTTTCCAAGGACACTTCCACAGGCAGAAGCCCTAGATAGAGCTTCTCAGATTATCACAGTGATTAACCTGCATGTCCGCTTTGAGGTCATTAAATGAGGCCTTACTGCTTGCTGGACACATCCCCCAGTGGCCTAGTCTGCAACACTGAATTCAACCCTCTCAAAACTGTGGGCACTGATGATCTGACTATGGAGCCTCTCTTTCAGCATGGGGATGGTAAGCCAGAGACGGTTATCAACAGACTGAAGGCTCTGAAGCCAAACAAATCCAGTTCTGAAATATTATCAGAACAAAAGCAGGTTGGAAACATTCTCCGGAATGGAAACAAGATTTGGCCCTATTTACATGCTTTCCTACAAACTAAAGTTCCACAAACAAGCCAAAAAGCTTCCGTTACTCCATGAGGAGAAATGTGTGCAACGATTAATAGTTAGGCAGGCCAGACACAGTGGCTTACGCCTGTAATCCCAGCACTTTGGGAGGCTGAGGCAGGCGGATCACAAGGTCAGGAGTTTGAGACCAGCCTGGCCAACATGGTGAAACCCTACCTCTACTAAAAATACAAAAATTAGCTGAGTGTGGTGGTATGCGCCTATAATCCCAGCTACTTGGGAGGCTGAGGCAGCAGAATCTCTTGAACCCAGGAGGTGGAGGTTGCAGTGAGCTGAGATCCCATTGCACTCCAGCCTGGGTGACAGAGCAAGACTCCATCTCAAAAAAAAAAAGAAAAAAAAGGAAGGCAGTAGATGGGCAAACCTCTCAGTCCTTGCATTTAGAAGCTACTTTTCCTAAGACTTCCAGTATGTATGAATCTTTGAAAATTACATTACTTTTTTTCTTCTGATTTTCTTCTGGATACTAAGGATGTGCTAAATGAGTTCGATACCAAGATTCTTCCTTTGGAATCATCTAGTGTGTTTTATGCAGCTATCCTCAAAAACGTCAGCAATGTCTGAACTTTTAAAACATCTATTAGAGCAAAATTGAGAGAGCATTTGGTAGTAATCTTTTTGTTCAGTTAATAAGTGGTTGATAGAGTTTCCATATTTTTCTGGAAAAGTTGTAAAAAGTTACATGTCATTTGGGGAAAATACGTGCTTGGGGAATTTTTTCATAGATTGATGGCAAAAAAGACATTTCCAGCACTGTGGAACATGGGGAGACACTATGTAATATTCCAGAATGAAAGCAACTGGATTTACAGATTTGTTGTAAGACACAAAGTCACGGCTGCCTTTACACTAAGAAATGTAGATGCTAGCCATATATACTGTATTTATTTTGTTGTTAAGCATACTTTCAGTTGACTCGGAATTTTCAATTTGCTATAAAAACGTATCAATATATAGAAAAATATTACTTTAAGATGACTTGTTTCCTTTGAAAATAGATATGTACTGAGGGTTATGATTTATGTCAGAAATTGACATCATTAGTCATTGGACAAGCACCAAAGTTGAATGAATTTTCGACAAAGTGTAATTAAAGTCTATATGTTTTTAGATGTGACTCCGGTTAAGAAATGTGTTTTAGGGTCTACCTGCTGGTTTCTCTTTTTAATCCAAATGTAGGATCTGCCCTGATAAATACCAAGTTACAGCCCCATCCCCCACAAAAATAAAAAAGGGAAAAAGAGAAAAGCCCTGGCACTATGTAAAAACAGTCAGCATACTCTGTCGGTGGTAAACAGACGAGGCCTGCCTGGGAAATGCTCTCTTGGCATAAACAGCAATCCATCATAATGTGTAAACAGGTGTGTCAATGAAAAGAATTTACATGACACGTTAACAGGGACCAGGAAAGTGAGTGAGTTTCCTGAAGGAGTCCTTTGTTTCTGATCAAAGAAATCGATACCTGTTAGCATTCACTGCCAGCCACCTTATTTTAAGGAGAGAGAACTCTACTGGTGTCATCTGAGCGGCCATTTAAAAATCGGAATCGAAGGTGATTCCTTCGTGGGGCAACAAGGATGGCTGCTGGTGTGCTGTGTGGCCTGGTAGGAGGGGTGGGGCATTCGAGAGGCGGAGGAAAACCGCGATTACGTCTTCCAGGGCGTCTGCACTGTGGCTTTACTTGGTGCCAAATCAAATGAAGCAAGCCCTCGTACAAGCTGCTATGAACTGCCTTTAAAAATCTGCTCCGTTTTTTCCCGGGTACTTAAAATACAAGTGCCAGTAAGTGGTTCTTATGTATTGGGGGGTGGGGGAATTTTATTTTCCTTTTCTTCTGATATTTTAAAAATTCGTTGATCTTTCAAGATGAACCAAGGTTTTTAAAAAGAATTATAGTAAACACTTTTCTTTATAAAACTTTCTATAATGCCTGATTTGAATGTGACTCTTACGTGCTTTCTAAAAATGTTGTGAGCTACCACACTTATGGATTATCATTAGGTTATCAGGCATCCATTGGCTTGTAGCTGTCACTCTGTCCTTGGTCCTTCACAGGGCCTGCTCTATCCCAGCTTCCTTTCTGCTGCCCGATGCCTCAATGGCTTCTGAAAGACTGTGTTCTAACAAATGATCTTAAAACAGTCCAATGAATAAATAAAGATAAATGTTAGCAAAAGCCTGAAATGAGGCTCAGTCTCCAGGGAATCACAACTAATGGCAGCAGAGCCAGACTCAACAATTCAGAGTGGGAAAAAAATAAGTAGGAAATGGTACTATGAACACAGCTATTAAATAATAAAAACAATCATAGTAAAACACTAAAAAGAGAGAGCAGGCACAGTGGCTTATGCCTGAAATCCCAGCACTTTGGGACACCCAAGGAGGGTGGATCACCTGACCAGGAGTTCGAGACCAGCCTGGCCAACAAACATGGTGAAAGCCTGTCTCTACTAAAAATACAAAAATTAGCTGGGCATGGCAGCGCACACCTGTAACCACAGCTGCTCAGGAAGCTGAAGCGGAAGAATCATCTCTTGAAGCCAGGAGGGGAGGTTGCAGAGAGCTGAGATCGCGCCATTGCATTCCAGCCTGGGTGACAGAAACTCTGTCTCAAAAAAAAAAAAAAAAAAAGAGAGAAAGGAGAGAGAATGTTTCAAAGAATACATATAGGCTCTGCTTAGGAGCCTACGAGGTTACACCCGAGTGTGGCAAGGGAGAACCCTTCAGCCAACTTAAGGTCTTGAGACAGAGTTGTTTCCAGAAAGGGGACAGTCTGACAGCAACCCAACATTGCGGTGAACGTTTTGCCTAAATGATGCAGAAGGATTCTGTCATAAAAACATTCAGGCAGAATAGGTTAGAATCCTTAGTAAATCTATGACCAAGGATCGGACCATATAAAGTATTTTTAACAGGATGACTTCCTAGAAACAGTTTGAAAGGCAAGGACGTGTCCAGCAGCTGATGAATGAGTAAACATGACGTGCCTATCCACACAAAGGAGTGCCACTCGGCCATGACAAGGATGTGCTGACTGAGGCTACAGCAAGGGTGAGCTTTGAAAACACGATGCCACGTGAATTACACCGGATGGGAAATACCCCAGAGTCCACGATTCCATTTACAGGAAATGGCCAGAGCGGGCAAATCATAGAGACAGAAAGTAGACCAGTGGTTACCTGGGGGTTGCTTGGGATCTAATTAGGAGCTATTGGGGTGAGGGGGAAATGGGAAGTGACTGCTAAATGGATAGAGGGTCTCCTTTTGGGGTGAGAAAAATAATCAGGAATGAGATAGGTGTGATGGTTGACAACTTTGTGAATAGTCTAAAAGCCACTGGGTCGTGCACTCTAAAATGGTGAATTTCGCGGCATGTGAACTCCATCTCAACTTTGTGTGTGTATGTGTGTGTGTGTGTGTGTCTATTTATTTCGTTTTTTTTTATTTTTTATTTTTTTATTGCATTTTAGGTTTTGGGGTACATGTGCAGAACATGCAAGACAGTTGCACAGGTACACACATGGCAGTGTGCTTTGCTTCCTTTCTCCCCTTCACCTTTTCATTAGCCACAACCTAACATCCTCCAGTCGGAACTTGACTCCTGCTTCACGTCTGGAAGGAACACGTGCTTTGGGGCAGGGACTGTGTTCCGTCCCGTTGCATCCCTGAAGACTAATAACACGCTTGTTGACTTCACGCAAAAAGTAATGGCGACGTGTTCTAATGTATTGCTCCTCTATGACAGGCCACAGGTTTGTGAGCAAACTCGTAGTGGATGTGTGGAGGCCCCAGACTGAGGGGACTCTGGACACGGAGGCCCAGGGTCAAGGCCCCCCAGGCACCAAACTGGCCTCATGCACCTTCGCAGATGTCCCTGCCTGTCAGCCTGCTCATCTGTCCAATGGGAACTCGAGCACCTTGGGACTGCTCGGAGGGGTAAATGACTTAGACGACATGAAGGGCTTAGTTAGAACGGTGCCCGGGACATAGTAACTGCTATACCTGCTGCAGAAGAACAAAGCCTAATGTCAAAGTCTCATGAGAAAAATGCTAGAGTAACAGTGAGAGCTACAGATGGCATCACCAATACAAAATAATCCAGGAGCTTAATCTCACATATATTATATGTGTATAATATATAATATGTAATTTCTGTGTATATATACATATATGCACATGCATGTATATACACACACATACATATATACCTACACATAGATATGTGTACATATGTATGTATTGGAAGTGGGATCTGACTTGCTTTGGGTCCGTGTCCCCTCCAAATTGCCTGTTAAATCGTAATCCCCAGTGTTGGCGGTGAGGCCTGGCAGGAGGTGACTGGACCCTGGGGTGGTTTCTAACAGTTCAGTGCTGCCCACCTAGTGCTGTATCGGGGTGGAGCTCTCGGGAGATCTGGCCGTCTGAAGGGGTGTGGCACCTCCGCTCCGCTCTTCCTCCTCACCCAGGCAGGTAAGACATGCTTACTTCCCCATCGCCGTCCGCTATGATTACAGGTTTCCTGAGGCATTCCCCGGCATGCTTCTCATACGGCCTGAGGAACCTGAGCCAATTAAACCTATTTTCTTTATAAATTACCCAGTGTCTGGTAGTTCTTTTAATACAGGGTCTCACTATGTGGCCCAGGCTGGTCTTGAACTCCTGAGCTCAAGTGATCCTCCAGCCTTGGCCTCCCAAAGTGCTGAGATTACAAGCATGAGCCACGGTGCCTGGCTGAGCTTAATCTCAAATGCATACTTTCTTTTTTTTTTTTTAAGTAGTAGAGATGGGGTTTCACCATATTGGCCAGGCTGGTCTCCAACTCCTGACCTTAAGTCATCTGCCCACCTTGGCCTCTCAACGTGCTGGGATTACAGGCGTTAGCCATCACACCCAAGCTCAGATGTGTACTTTTCAAATTACTCACACATTTGAGATTAAGTAACACTGCCAGACTTCTGAACATTCCAGAACTGGGAGGTAGAGAAGCCCCCTGATTGCCTGAAAGGAACTCCTGGGCTCCCAGAGGCAGCAGCCACACTCCTGACCACCAGAAACCTGGCCATGACATGACTGTCTTCTGCAACAACCCGGCCTCAGGTGAGTTTGCTTACCGAGGTGCTGAGAGGACCTTCCTAGGGTGCTGTCTCACCTGCTCCAGCCCACTCAGGACAAAGCTGCGGTGGCAGTTATCTACACAGCCATATCGGCGAATCCAACAGCAAAGTCTTCCACAAAACAACCCACACCCTTGCCTCTCCTGGCGTTTCCAACAATGAATATAATTTTAAAGTGCTGAAAAAATTCCTAAAATTATGCAAGTGTAACACAAAATTCTAAACATTCCTTCAAAGTACAAGCAGAGGGTCTAACACATTTTGCTAATGCCGTGCCTGCCGTTTCTTCCCCGCTGCTTCTCCTGGTGCGCGGGAGTGAAGGTGTATTCGATCTCTATTCCCGTTTACACTTTACCAGTAGGCATTATGAATTACAAACCAGGCTGGTTTAAAGAACATGAGGATATCCCAGCAGTTTATAACACTGACTGAAACAAGGCTGCTTCCTAGAAACTTTATTTCGGTTTCTTCTGGCAACGAGATGTTTCAGGTGTGGGTATTAAACCTCAGATCCTGCAGATGACCAGAAAGCCTGAGATTTAACCCAAAGGATTGGTAACGTGAAGCCTGTTGACATCCCCGAGGTCATTACGTCACTGAAAATTTGCTGTTAGCTTTCTGCAAGTTTGGATGCATAAGAAAATTTAAAATTATTCCTAGAAATCTATTTCAAGAGAAAAATTCATAGCCGTCCACGTTTTTGTTTAATGCTGTTGTTGCTACTAATAGTTAATTCTTCTCGGCACCTACTCTGTGCAGAACATGTGCTAAGTCCTTTACCTGCATTAGCTCACTTCTTCCAACAACCTGGTTATCAATACCCGCCTTTACACATGAAGACACTGAAGCTCAGAGAGGTTCTACAGGTCAAGCAGGGTCTCACAGCTAGAAAGCTGCAGAGCCAGGGGCACATTCAGGCTGCCAGGGGCTGGATTTGTAAAATCATGCTCCGCTGCCTCTCTGCTTTCTGTTAAAGTATTTCATCAAATACAGCTCATAAGCTTATGCAGATTATGGAAAGCCTATCTACTTATTAATTTACCCAGTGCACCCCATCCATGTCTGTTCTCACACTGTTAATGAAGACATATCCAAGATGGAATAA